ATTCTGTGATTCTGTGTGATTCTGTGTTTCTGTATATAAGCATAGGAAGCTCAGTAGCAGCCACTAGAAACAAAGTTGGCCAAAAAGATCCAGTCTGCAAGGTGTTGTGTACAGGTAAGAAAAAGATCTGTGCAAAGCCTGAACGACACAGAACAGCACAAATTTTAATTGAAGGCACTAGTTAAGTTGTCATTAACTTCAGTGGAATGGAAGAATTTAAGAAGCTGGAATTTTGCCTTAATTACTTGAGCTTAAATCAGATTCTTGTTGTTCAGACATATATAATGGCCGGAAGGACTTCCACAGTCAAATCTCTCAGCCTCTTTTTTTTTTTTTTAAGAATTTCCCATAAATCTACCTTTAAAAAATATAAGCACATTTACAGACTCTGTGGAATTAGTTGTTTGGGTTTTTTTTTAATTAAATTACTCCACTCCTTCAGGTAATCCACACAAGGAAGTGAGAACTGACATGCTAAATTGTTCTTTGTAACATGGTATCGGATGTCAGTTTTATTAATGTTTATTTTCTTCCCAATAGAAGACCATGGATTTTACCATATCTGACAGACATTCTTTATAGAGCAAATGGAATACACCTATTTAAACAGGTGTGGCACACTTAGGGGAATTTCTTGCACTAATATTATTTTGTGTTAACAATACAGATAAAGCTTTGGTGACTGGAGCAAAATTAATGAAAATTATGGAGTACAGTGGATGGAGTAGAATAATGGAACTATCTCCCATGTCAGTGAGTATCTGGTACTAGACTACTTGCCCTCATAGGCAATAGAAATGCAGTTTTAATAACTGTGGTAGGCTGATGGTGATAACCTTGGTCTCATCAAAGTTCTCACAAGCTTCAGATAAAAAAGCACCCTTACCCTTATCTCAGAACATGGAAGCATATGGGAGACCTTATCACAAGTGACTACCTGTAGTGCTGCCCGCTATACAAATAAAGAACAAAAGCAGCTATGTTAGAAAGGGATTAAAATCTTATATTTAAATGCTAGGAACAGCATGGAGTTCCAGAAATACTTCAGAAAACAGGAAACAACGACATAATATTGAATCATAATATCATAGAAACATTCAGGTTGGAAAAGACCCTTGGGATCAAGTCCAACCTATAACCCTACTCTGCAGAGTCCACACCTAAACCACATCCCCCAGCACCACATCTAAACGACCTTTAAACACCTCCAGGGAAGGTGACTCCACCACCTCCCTGGGCAGCCTGTGCCCGCTCCCTCCCCCCCCCCCCGGCCCAGCCTGTGCCAGTGCCTGACTACTCTTTCCGTGAAATTTTTTCCTAACATCCAGCCCAAATCTACCCTGTTGCAGCTTGTGGCCCTTCTCTCTAGTTCTACTACCAATTACCTGTGAGAAGAGACCAGCACCAACCTCTCTACAGTGTCCTTTCAGGTAGTTGTAGAGAGCGATGAAGTCTCCCGTTAGCTTCCTCTTCTTCAAACTAAACAGCCCCAGCTCCTTCAATCATGCTTCATAAGATTTAGTCTCCAGGCCCTTCATCAGCTTCGTTGCCTCCCTCTTCACTCACTCCAGCACCTCAGCATCCCTCTTGTATCGAGGTGCCCCAAACTGGACACAACACTCAAGGTGCGGCCTCATCAGTGCTGAGTACAGGGGCACAATCACCTCCCTACTCCTGCTGATCACACTATTTCTAATACAAGTCAGGACGTCATTGGCGTTCTTGGCCACCTGGGCACACTGCTGGCTCATCTTCAGACGCTTGTCTATTAGAATCCTCAGATCCTTTTCTGCCAGACAGCCTTCCAGCCACCCTTCTTGCATGGGGTTGTACCCTGGATAGCAACCTCCACTCAATACAACAAAAATGGTTCTCAGTGTGCAAGGGATCACATCAAAGACAAAGGTGAAGAAGGGAGTTGCAAGGAAAGGTTGAGGAGATATGCAGATGTTTTATGCCTTCCAAAAGCCAACAGGCATCATGGAAGGAAGCAAGATGGGTTGTGTTTAAATATCAACCGTCAAAATTGACTTCATAATATCACTGTATAAATGAGTAGAAGCAAAGATTCTACAAAAAGGGAAGACGAGCTGGGTGATGCTGCAGTGAAGCAGAAAAAATAAACATTCTCTACATCTCTTCAGACTAAAGAGGGAAAGGTGTTCATGCCTGTAGCCATTCTGTGAGCAACACACAGGATGAACTGTGTATACAACGATGCCAAGTGCCACAGCCTTTTGGCCTCAGTGAGCTAACGCAATAAAAATTTTCTTTAGCAAATGGAAGTCCACTTGGAAGAAAATGCCACTGTGTTGCCCACTGTGCAGGTCATTCTGTGCTTGGCTATGAAGTGAGCTGCTGACTTATGTCTCTGCCTCAAAATATTCCACTCTTTTGCAAGAGCCAGAAAAGATAATTGCAAAGCAACCATCCCTAAACTTGGGGTCTCATTTTGTGAACACAACATCAGCATTGCAGCTTGCTGCAATTATTTCAGGGAAGGTAAAGTCACAGGGCTGCAGGAGGACAGGTCTTCTATTGTCTCTTCTTGCTTGCCCTGGAGACAAGCAAAACCACTCAGAACAATGCACTTGGATTGGTTCATTTTTAGTCACCTGTTCTCCAAGAAAAATTCTTTCTTCTAAAATGTGCAGCCCCAAAGCTGATGTCACTTATCAGTAGTAAATATTGACAAGGAAAGAGAAGGGAATTCACCTGTATATATACAGCCCTAGAGTGAGGACAATCTCATTCCTGCCACTCTTCCTAAGGTACAGAAGGACTCTGGCTGGAGGAAGGTAATCTGTGCAGAATTTAATTTTGATATTAGAGATTTTATCCATAGAGTCACTTGGTCAGTATTGACTGGGCACGGTGCTACAAAGGCTAATGTAGTTAATATCTAAGTTGTACCAAATGTGATAATTAAAATAAATTGCCTGCTTGTAATAATACCAGAGAAAGAATTCAAAACCAAATTATATCTTCTGCTTAGAAAGCACATCTTCCACCTGCATGGGTGAGAAATGGCTTCAGTGAAGTCTAATTTCCGTATTTCTTTAGATCAAAAGGTAATACTTCGATAGAGTTGTTTTATTCTTCAAATGTGAACATTAATTAATTCATTTTACAGAGGATGGTCAATTATGGAAAATGTTTTTCTAATGTAATTTGAATTACTTTTATGTTGAATTTACTTCACTTGAGTATTAGGGTATACCAGTGCAGCTGAACTCAGAATTTTGCCATCTAGGAATGTCCAAGCCTTCAGGTGTATATGCTATTAAAATATCTATCGTATCTTACAGTATGCAGTCAGCTGACTGCATTTTCATAATGCAGAGTGAAATTTGTAGGATTGTAAACTCAGAGAAAGGAAGAAAAAACTTATATCAAAGTAACATGAAAGACAAATATTCCCACTCTTCCATGCTTTCAAACCTGCTATGCCTTGAAAGCTTTGTCAGCTGGCAGGGAAAAGGCTCTGTTGAGGAATGAAGCACCAGAACTAAACAGGAGAAGCCTGCACTGTATTTTTCAAATAGAACTTTGTTTATAGCTTTTTTAGATATAGACTTTTTTTTAATTGGATCAAATTTGCATGAAAAGTCCAGTTTTCAAGCAGAGCTACCTAAAAGTGCATTGCTGGCATCTGTCTTTTCCAAAGCATAGAAGTGATTTAGTGGATTGAATACTATTGATGTGGAAGGATAATTGTATCTGGGAACTGTTGTCTTTTGACTTTGAAAATAATGCCAAATAAATTTACTCTGAGGGACAGATTTGATTGTGCAGTCTGACAATCGATGGGGTGCAGTGCTGTTTTAACAATGTTTAATTCCGGGACTAGAAATATTTTATGTCTGGGAGTCCCAGAAAGATCTTGTTTCTGCAGGTAAGGACAATGTAAGTCCTCAGTGGCCAAAGATAACCCTACAGTTTAAGAATTTGTTCTTCATTAATATGAGTGAGATCCCTGCCTCTACCTCGTGCAAGTGATTTCCTTTGCAAGCATGGCAAAACAACCTAAAGACTGATTATATGAATGACGTGAAGTCTTTGGTGGGATGGGATATATTTTGATCTATGTCACTCAAGGGAACACACTGTTGAAATAAATGATCAATCTGACTGCAACCTATTTATTATCAGGAGGATTATAGTAACCAGATCACATTCTCCTGGTGCTTTCATAGGCTGAACAGACCTCCTAAGCGTTCAACTTTCTTAGCCCAAGCACAATGTCACCACAGTGTAACTATGAAGCCCGTTGTATTCAAATTCGCATCTCGGCACAGCTTGGTACTAGCATGGGCTACCATGGGTAGCTGGGCCACCATGTCTGTTAGAATCAGTTTGAGAATCCATATAACAAGTTCATTACCTTATGAGCTCATGAAAGATTACAGCACATTGCATAGAGTAGCCCAACAGCTTTCAGCCTCAGCTCAGAAAACTTAGTCTTGTATTGCTACTATGCGAGTGAAAAGAGAATTCACTTTTCTTCTTTGTTTCTGTACATCCTTTGAGATGCGAATCCATCATTTAGTTCCTGTCGAAGTAAAAGCTCTTAGCTCATTCTTCTCACCTAACATCAGCATGTTTATTTAATCACTTAGCAGAGCTGGATTGGTGGATTGCTTATATTTTCACTGTGTGTTTGTGGTTTTAACAGGTGGCATCCTGATAGTTTCCCTGTCAGATAGGATTTTCTAGATTTCTACCACTGACCTTTAGTGCTCACAGTGTGGATTTTTCTCAGATGCCAGCTCTAAGGTTTATTATGTTTGACATTTTTTATTATATCTGTTTTCCTTGCTTGCTTCAGTCCATTTTAAGATAACCTGCTGAGCTCAAAGTTACTTTTCCTTGGGATTTTGCCACACCTTTACCCTTTACCAACTAAAAAGACATGATTTCCTGTATATTCTCAGTAAGACAAAGATATGCAACCTTTGCTTCTTCTGATACGTAGAAAAAAATATCCCATGAATATGAATGGGTTTCAGACTGCGTACATACTGTGGTATTTGCTTCCATAAGGCATCTTAGCAGCAAGAGAGTAATAGCCAATATTATTTCATGAAGGTTTTGGGTATGTCTAGGTATAAGATGTAGCTTGAGGATGATCATCACCATTTACTAGAGCCATTGTGGTGCTAATTTAATGAGGAAATAGGGTGCAGGAAAGGAATGGACACAACTGTTGATGTGTTCAGGGCTCCACTCCATAATGCCAGTTCCCAATAGAGATGATGCTTGCCTGAGCAGGACACAGATGTGACCCTACTGAACGTATTAATGGGCTTTTTCATACACAAGGAGGCAAGGCTGAAGGAAAAGCTGCAATTCCAAGCTATCTTGAATAAAGAAGTAAAAATTTGCTACAAGAAACATGCAATTTTATGCTACTTACAATCCCTGTTTCAATGCAAGGTAGAGTCTTCGCTGTGCATGAGGTGATGGTGTCCATGCACCATCATTCACCCATTTGCACGATTTTAGCACATCCAACTGTGTTAGGTATCAACTAAAAAATCTTCTTTTTGGCAGGCAGTAGTTTTGAATCCTGTTGACATAGCATGCTAAACCACAAACTTTACACAACGGGGAATAATGGATTTTGGGTTTTGTTTTTTTGTTTCTTCTCCACAGAAATGGATCCAGTAACTGCAATCATTTTCCTGGCGGCTTTGCTACCCCAATCTGATGGAACGGTAGGACACTCATCTATAAAAAAATGCTCATATCTAAGCACATTGTATAGATATCTGACATGGTATAGTCTAGTCTAATGATCTCTACAGCTTTACAATTCAGGGTTGAAATTATTGTTAACATGTTAATATAACACAATAAAGATGAATCCTAGTTTTTCACAGATTTTTGTATTAAAGTATTTCTTCTGCCTATCAAAACATTCTTCTCTTCACAAGACTAATTCTAAAAATGTGTTTTCCCAAAAGATGTGAACTAAAGCTATTTTTAAATCGTTTAGCTAAGTATCAGAACCAGTCTTCAGCTGTCCTTAGAGAAAATTAATCTTGTAAAATATGAATATCTACTATGTAAGGCACTTGAATGTGAGCTGTTTATCAAGATCAGCCTATTAATGAATGAAAAGAAATAAGTACTTCAGAGATGCCAAACATCTCTTTCTTTAGTAAATCTTGAGTGAACTATGGTCTAAGTCACTCATTTTCTTTGCCTGAATATAGCAGCAACCTAAAATAACTGGCTGAGATTTTTCTTCTACCACTATAAATGTCTAAAGCTAATAGAGATGTATGACATCTCTTGAGGCAGGTTCAGCTGAGCAATGAGAAATGTCTTAGGGGAGCTTGAGTCTCTCCAGAGTGTCTGAGACATTCATGGGCTGTACAACAGCTACACCTTTCTGGTGCAACAGTCTGAGGCTAGGTAGCTCTCTGGAAATTTCAAAAGGCATTAGGTGCCATTTTAAGCCACTTTCTACAGCCTTTAAAACCTAGAATTGAGCTCTGGAGGCAAATTAACGAGATTCATTCACATTACTTGGACATTCCAAAATTTAGCTTCTCTCATTTTATACTTTTCTCATTGACCATAAAGGTAAACAGAAGACTTTTAGATATTTACATCTATGGTATAGATATATAAAATTAAATAAGAGGCTGCAGTGTCTAGGAAAAGGATCATCACACCAATGGCAGAACTCACCTCACTGACTTAAATATCAAAGAATTAGTTTTCCAGACCTCTGTCAGGCTTTTTCTCCAAACAAAGAAAGAAGAAGCAGGTACTTGTAGAGACTTCTAGGATTCTTCCAGTCCTAAAAAGGAGTTCACATTTTGTGAGATGAGCCACCTCTGCCCTCACCAGTAATGACAAATAGAGTGAAAGTGTCTCAGACTGAGATGCATCCTTTTTAGACATTGAATGGGAAGAATATTTTCCTCAGGGATGTTTCAGTCTGAAAACTCCAACATAAGTACAGTAAGTCGTTTTCTCTGTAGAGATTCATGACCTGACATCACTATGTAAGAGACAATCTAAATCATTCACTGTGTTCTTGACCTTAGGTATTTCAGAAGATGGCCTGTAAACAGTCATAAGTTCTGATCCAACTTTGCGTGCTTCCGGATCTTAGGACTGACAAGAGATAGGGACTTTTTTAGTGCACACAAGAGATGAAGCCAGTCTTGATATTTGGTTCCACAGTGGAACTTTCTCCACATTTGATGTGGAGACACCTGAAGGTAGAATTTCTATCTCCAAATTTCATTTAGGGCCATGTCTCCTAAAGAAAAGCACAGTTTAAATCAAGGAAGGAAATAAAAATGGCAGCAATTATAAGAATAGAAGAGAAAATCAAAGAGTATTGGGAGTTTCAGAAACCTTTGGTTTGACAAAAAGTTCATAATTTGTCTTCCTTATTAACCTTCTGATAACCAGAACCTTCTTCGTTATTGTTTTCTACAGTTTTCAGCATAAACTGACATTTCTTCATTTCCTCAGCTGACGTTAAAAAACCGAGAGGAGATCCTTGAGAAAAGCAATGAAATACGAAGATCTGTAGTTCCCACAGCCAGCAACATGCTGAAGATGGTAAGATGTGCATTGCAACTAGTCTGCTTTCCACATCATTAGCAGAAGATTGTAGCCTTATAAACAATCCACACTTAGTGAACAGAGAAGGCAGAACAGGTTCTCTATGACTGAGATGAAGAAGTCAGAATTTTATCCCTTCATTTCTGCAGGCTTGATGCTTCATTCTGCACACCTCGATGCTGCAAGCACTTGCAAAATTATTGCAAAGGTCTCAGCATGGGCCACAAAGACTACTCTAAACCTCTACCCTAATCAACGTGATTTAGGTTCTTCACTTATAAAAACTCAATTAAGCAATATAAGAACTGTCCCATACCTAGGGTTGTTTGTCTACAGGAACCATAAGCATAGTTTGCCCCAATCACATCTCATTTTTGCTCTCAAAACTATGCTAACACAGCCTGCGTGGTGAATCACAAATTCTTGCCTTATGTTTCTTCATTACAACAGATAGCAACTGCAAGTCTTTTTCAGGGAAAGCATTTAAACTAGGATAAGGTAGAAAATGTAGTGATGGTTCTCAGATTATGGATAATGCTCTTTAGTCCGTGAGATAAGCAGCTCCCTTAGAAGAAGAGAAATACAGGCCCTGGATGAAGAAAACTATATGTAAAGCAAAGGACGAGTAGCAGCACGCTTCTGAATCTCACACCATTGGGGAGGGAGAGGAGAGACCTAGATCCACACAGCTGTTTGTCCTCAGCTGAGCTTGCTTTGTCCGTCGCTCCTCCCATCCCTCTCACCCCTGATATTCTTTGTTATCCCTGCCCTATGAGAAGATGAGCTGGTCAGTGCTTTATGGTTAAGTCTGCACGATGAGACTTGCAAACATCCCCCAGGTTCAGAGTTTTATACGATTTAGTGAAGTGCATCCTGGAAACTTAGACGCAAAGCCAAAACAAAGAAACAGTATGTTATAAAATCCCTGTATCTGTATCTATATATCTATATAGATAGAGATAAAATCAGGACCATCTGGACACCATGAGTGTGATACTGTGCAGAATAACCTGCTCTGCAACCGTTAAGAGATGAAGAAACGTGGTGCCCATGTCCCAGTAACATAAACTGAATTACTTCTCTGCTTTCTGTTGAGGACCACGAAAGCATTTAGAGACCAACACTCAAGTTACTTCCCATTTTGTTTTGTTCTCATGGACTGCACTAACCTGTCTGTGACCTGGATACTTCTTCCTTTGTGTCTTTCAGGTGTGGAGTGAAAAAGCTGCCAGAAATGCTCAGATATGGGCAAATAAGTGTGAGATGAGAGTCAGTCCAGGAGATGAGAGAGTCCTTGACGGTGCGGGACAAACGTGACAACTTGCAGATGATCCCTGTGCATGTGAACTTGAAATAAGGATAAATTTAATCAGTTGTAGAATATGTTTTTAGGATTATTAAACACAAAACCATCGTCTTTGTCAGATAAATACTCTGAAAGATAAATTGTTGGAACAAGAGAGAGGAATGCTATGTACTTGCCCCATATTTGTAACTTTATTGAAGTTTTTGCTTTTGGCTACTGCTGGAGACAGCCCAATAGATGACTGTTGGTATGACTAAGTACAGACATTTTTGTGAAACATTTTGCAGTCAAGTAAGTATCTGTGGCTGAAAGTTCACCAAAATCAGTGTAACATTTCCTTCAGCTTTCATAGGATCAGGTATACCGTTCTCGTCTTAAAATCACAGGGCGAATAGGTTGGATCATAGAGAATTTTTTAGAATGTAGCTACAATCACTCTGTCCTACACCCCACCCTGCAGCTTGCTTCTCTCCTAAATAATAAAATGGACTTACTTTTACTTCAGGTGTCATCTGCGGTGAGAATATATTACTATCATCTAACCCAAAAACATGGGATGAAGCAATTGAAGACTGGTACATCCAGTCCTCCAATTTCAAGTATGGATATGGAGCAACTGTGAAAAACGCCAATATTGAGAGCTACACCCAGGTATGGAGAATTGAAACATACTGCAATGAAACTCAAGAATTACAGCAGTACACTTAAGGAAGCTGGGAGATTTTATTAGAAAAAAAAATATCGTTGTAATCAAACCATTATCCATCATTCACACTCTGATCCAAAGATGAATGATAAAATTAAAACTTTTTCATCTAATTCTGAGGTAATGAAACCAGTATTTTGTAAGAGCCATGCAAAAGAAAAAATTGTATACTGTAGGAAAAAAAAAAAAAAACAACAACAAATCAAAACCCAAACCAATATCTTTAATTTAGAAATAAACATCTTCTGTAGAGGTGTTGTGGTTTAACCCCAGCCAGCAACTAAACACTGCTTCTCAGTCCCTGTTCCCCACTGTGGGATGGGAGGAGAATCGGAAAAAAGAAAAAGTCATGGGTTGAAATAAGAACAGTTTAATGACTACAATAAAATAAAATAATAATAATAATAATAATAGCAATGAAAAGGGATATGATTAAAAAAAAGAGAAGTAAAAATGGAGAAAGACAAGAGATGCACAGTATAATTGCTCAACACCTACTGACCAATGCCAGGAACAATTACCCCCCCCCTGCCAAATCCTCCCAGTTTATATACTGGGCATGACGTCCTGTGGTACAGAATATCTGCTCGGTTAGTTTGACTAGTGGGTCAGCTCTCCTGGCCATGCTCCCTTCCAGTTTCTTGTGCACCTCCTTGCTGGCAGGGATAGGGAAACTGAAAAGTCCTTGACTTGGGATAAGCACTACTGAGCAACAACTAAAACATCAGTGTGTTATCAACCGTTTTCTTATCCTAAATCCAAAAAAAAAGCACATTACCAGCTACTAAGAAGAAAATTAACTATGTCCCAGCCAAAACCAGGACTATAGGCATTGAAATACCTGATTAAGAAATATAAAAAAAAAAAACAAATTAAAAAATTGAACTTAAATTTTACTGTCCTGCCAGAAACTGTGTTCACAAACTTTTGGAAACTGGACAACATGGTTAACTCATTTTTCTTGTTAGTCTTTCTGACAACCAAACTATAAATTTAAAAGCTAAATATACAAAATGAAGCAAGAACTATCTTCTGGTCTGTTACTTTGTGATCTCTTCGATGAGAACTCAGTAATGACTCTGAAATAATGTGTTTATTTTTTATTCTACAGCTAATCTGGTACAACAGTTACAAGATTGGATGTGCAGTTGCCTACTGTCCTCTGAATGCGTTCAAATACTTTTACGTTTGCCAGTACTGTCCTGCGTAAGTACTGCCTTTTTACTCACTTAATATGTGATAATTATGGAAATGTTTTCAAAAACTCCTGTGGTCCTGTGGTCATGTGTAGGATAAAACAGTTATAGTTTACACTAAGTGTTTATAATTTTGAAAATGTCGTTGTGAATTGTGGGGGTAACATCAGGTTAAATAGTAATATTTTATTTTACATTCGAAAACCGAGATTAGGGGAATTTCAGCGCAGGAACAGAGAAATCAAATCAGGCATCATGCACAAATCATCCCATATCTTTTACCACAAACAGGAAAGGCAGATAGAAAATGAAAGAAACAGCAAACCAATATTTGCAGAAGTAAAGAGCACATCTGACACAGCTGCATGTCAGAAGGCATCTGCTGATGTTTTTTTCTTTATAAGGCATCTGCTGACGTTTTTCTCCTTATAAGCTACATCACATGAAAGCCATTAGAAAAGTAGAACTAGGAAGCACATAATATTGGGCATTTTTAACTGATAATGCTATACAAATGCAAATAAATAAAAGTCTTTCTCTAAACCTTACTGTCCCTCTCATTTAAAATAAAAGTTCTTGTATTCTATGAATATCTGAAACTAGAGCATGACTGTCTATGAAAATAATTTTAACCAGAAACTTCTGGGTGCCTTTCATTGACATCAGTAACATAATCTACTGTTAAGTGCTCAGAGCTGCTCTTTGATCTCGGTTTGTGTTTTATTTCTTTCAAATTTCAGAGGAAATAATGTCATGCAAATAGCTACACCTTACAAAAGCGGACCAAAATGTGCAGACTGTCCTGGCCACTGTGACAAAGGGCTTTGCAGTAAGTGAATGGATTTTCCTCCTTACCACAAACATGGCATTACCTCAGATAATAACCCTCCTTCCAGGGAGAGGGCTTCCACAGCTTTCCGGGCAACGTGTTCCAGTGCCTCACCACCCTCACAGGAAAGAATTTCTTCCTAATGTCTCATCTAAATCTGCCCCCATTCAGTTTGAAACCATTACCCCTCAGCTTATCACTACAATCCTTGATGAAGAGTCCCTCCCCTTCTTTCCTGCAGCCCCTGTAAGTACTGAAAGATCATAATAGATGCAGCAAGTCAAAGCACACAAATAGATGGAAACTGCAGGATATTACCTTTCTGCCTGCATTCCCTTTTCTGTAATACTAAAGCAACTACAAGAGCAGAGCAAAAGTACAAAAAACTATCGAGATATTAAAATTTGGAATTTTCAGAAAATGCAGAAGTATCAGACCAGGGCTTGGTTTTCAAATAATATTTCACGGTTTTACTTTTATCTCTTATATTCTAGCCAACGCTTGCAAGTACCAGAACCACTTGGGAAACTGTGAAACTTTGAAATCCTTGCTTGGCTGTCACCATGAAGCAGTGAGGAAGAACTGTGCTGCTACCTGTAATTGCACCACTCAAATTATATAATGTCCTTGTGGATGGCGTTACAGCTGCTGTGAGACTTACCTTTTAGGAAAGAGTAGACCTTACTGCAAAGTGTACTCACTCTCAGTGCATCAGCTCAGATTGACCTATAGGTAATATTTTTTTTTCTAAAATCTCAGCATTAATTCAGTCCTAAATAAGTCTAGTAGCTCAAAACAATCTCTGCTGTAATTTTAGACTTGGTAGAAATCATGCTTAAGACTAATTTGTTACTTCGTGGTTTTCCCTGCGGTGGATCTTCCACCAATTAATTTCTTTTTAACAGGAAACACACTTTTAAAACACTTCAGTTGGTTTGCAAAATATGTTAAATGTCACAACTTTCTTCTGTCACCTTTTCTTTGATTACCCATAGAATGTATTTCTGCTAAATAAATGCATGATTTACCATTGGTTCACAAACAGAGCTTTTTATTGAAGTTATTTATAATTTGGTTTTTTGATCTGGAAAATTCCTTACAGAAATTTGAAGGCTCTATGGTACTTTGTAGAAGTGAGGATGAGACAGGAAAAGGAACCAAGGAAAAAATGATGTATTTTTGATACAGTCAAAATAAGAGGCACACACTGAATTTGCCAACTTTTACTCTGTGGCTTAAACACAAACCTTCTGATACATCTGTGTATGCAATTGATAAATATTTTTTCGTAAGGCACCAACACTAGAGAAATATCAATCTCTTTAAAAGCATTCATACAAAGAAAGATCTCTATATATCCCTTCCCATCCTCTCTGAGTAAGTCAGTCCCACAGTTGCTTGGAATTCATACTTCAGAACGTTGTCACATCCTGCCCCGAAGGGGGACAGATGACTTTTAGATTCATAATACCCCAACGGAGTGGACAACGGTGAGACAAGTCTCAAGGTCCATACACAAACATTTATTATCAGATTTCTCGCAACATAGAGATTGGGCTCGCAACAATGGGTTTTAATTCTAAAACACGATAGGGCAGACGATATAACAAAACCCAGGAAAAGGCTAAATATTCAATGAACTACAACTTAGTAATAACAAGAGATAATAAAGGACATCTAAAACACAATATTACAACAGACGATATTATTCATGACCTTTACAGGAACGAAATTTAAGCATCAACTAAATAAAAAGTAGAGAAAAAGGGGAAGAGAGAAAGAGGGAGAGAGATCATCAGTCCAGGTTCCTGCGTTGGTCCAGCCAAAGCAGAGTTCAAGATGCATCCGTTGTCTTCTTTTTCCTCTGCTTCTCCTCCTGCACTTTGCTTCTTCTTTTCCTCTTATCTTTCTCTTTATCTTTCTCTTCCTCCTTTACTCTGCTCTTGTGAGACTCCACCTCGAATAATGCGTCCAGTTCTGGTGTCCCCACCATAAGAGGGACATAGATCTGTTGGATCGCATTCAGAGGAGGCCACAAAGATGATCCAGGGGCTGGAGCACCTCTGCTACGAGGACAGGCTGTGGGAGCTGGGATTGTTCAGTCTTGAAAAGAAAAGACTTCGGGGGACCTAATAGCTGCCTTCCAATACCTGAATGGAACACACAGGAAGGCTGAGGAGGGGCTTTCTACAGGAGTGTCCAGTGATAGGACAGGGGGAAATGGGTTTAAGTTGAAGGAGAGTAGATTTCGATTAGATCTTAGGAAGAAATTCTTCAGTATGAGGGTGGCAAGACTTTGGAATAAATTGCCCAGAGATGTTGTGGCTGCCCTCTCCCTCGGGGGGTTCAAGGCCAAGTTGGATGGAGCCTTGAGTAGCCTGATCTTTTTGAAAGGCATCGCTGCCCATGACAGGGAGGTTGGACTAGATGATCTCTAAGGTCCCTTCCAGCCCAGGCCATTCTATGATTATTGCTTTACGGACGTATGGAATGTCAAGTAGGGGATCAAGGCACTTTGTTGTTTTTGACACTCTTTAGCATGTGTGAATGTTCTGGGTAATTCTCATTAGCATGCGCGAATGTCCAAGATAAGGCCGTCCTGCTTCCACAAGAATACCTGAGCTCATCAGTATCCTTTGAGGCATCTGTTGCCTTATCAGATTGCTCCTCTACAACATCCCATCAGTTTGCCACACGGGACCAGAAACCATTTTTTTAACCAAGCTGAGGGCTTACAGAAATGACAAGAAATGTTTAAGGCAAAACTCACACATCTGTCCATTACACATGTAGAAAAAACTGCTAATAAAAAAAAAAATATCAAGAAAGAAGTGGATCAAAGTCCCCTAAAACCTCCAGCGAAATACCTGATTTGCTCCAGAACTTCCCAGGAACCATCTTAGTGCTGGTTCCTAGCAGTGCCCACCTTCAGAATATCTCCAAGAGAATTAAGTTCACCTGAAGGCCTTAAATGCACCTTCTCTCACCTCTGTTTGCAGGCAGAGCACCAGCTCCTGCCTAGGGAGAAATTTAGCTGGATCTGCTGCACACGGTCACAGTGCCATGTTGGTTTATGTATTGCTTCTGATGATGCATTTCTTTGGGTAAAGATTTTCATTTCAAGACTTTCCAGGCCTTTCACAATGCAGGGCATGACTATCAAAGGGCTTTGTTGATCCAGAACTGAGGACTTAGATTTGTTACCTGTCAGTGGCTCTGCTTACTTGGAGAAACTTTGTCATCCATTTAGGGAGGGGCTTTGTCGCAATCACGCCTCTTTAGATACTGATGATATTATAGCGTTGATAAAACAGTATTTCAGAAACCTTTTTTTAGAGCTTTTATCCAAACTTTACACTTCAAACACACAAAAAAGTAGGAAATAGAAGCACTTTGCTGACAGTTTATAAACTTTGATAGATATTAAAAGAAGAGCAAACACCTGACACTATACAGAGAAGCTCCTTCCCATTAACCTTCCTCCTGACACTTCTCCATCCTGCTTGCATGCAGGAAGCACTAGGGTGTCCCACCAGACCTGCAGCAGCTCCTCCAGGTGGACACTGGTCTCTCACAGATCTTGAGTCACATAAAACAGCCTTGAGCAGGACTGATTCCACTTAGCACCTGCCATTTCTATTTTAAATCACTAAAAATAATTTTCTCCATAGGACTGCAATTCCAGTTAAAAACACAAGAGGGTGAACTATACCCAGACATTCAGCTGCATTTGTTTTTCATTTTGCTACCTGTAGAAAGGGCTCTTCTTGTTACTAGAAATTAAAGTTCTTGCCCTACTCTGGCCTGATTTTAACACTTGCGTGCACAGAATTTCTTAGTTAATACTAGATGAATAAATAATCACTACATATAGAAAGTTTGGTAGCGATTTCTTCTCCATTGTTTCATTCTGTCCCTGTTGGCCGTACCACTATCATATTAAAACAATATATTCATAGAATCACAAAATCATAGAATCATGGA